ACAAGTGGACGGTGCTGGACACGTCGGCGGGATACTGGCAGGCTTGGCTTACTTCGTCTTGAAAATGAGGGGTTTCTGATCGTCGAGCCCACATCGTTTTACGAACGAAGGTCGCTCTTCGCGTCCATCTATGTCTATTACTGGACCACGAGACCAGCCAACACCACTCACACAGTCCTTTCCTTCTCCGTCATAGGAAAACACAACTCATTATGCATAGACCTGGCTAATCTAAGGGACATAAACATAATAGCAATACAAACGAACTATCAAATACACATGGATCGAAGAAAAAAGGCCAGTGCATGGGATATCAAAATTCCTGTATCAATAAGCTTAGGGAGAGTCCCTTGTCAGGCATAGAGGCGCAAAAGTACATCAGCGAAACGAGCACGGAACGAGGTATAATTACTTCGGGCGCGGCGGCGTGCTCGTACGCCCGTCCAGCCTCCTCATCTCTTTCTCCAGCCTTTCCGTTCCGTCGACGTCTTTGTTCGCTCGAGCACCGTGCTTGTCGAAAAGATAGGTTAGGAGGTTCTTTTTCTCGTCTGGTAGACCATCCAGGAGGGTGAATAGGTGCGTTTCATCGCGGAGCACCAACTGTGCGGCGATGATGCATGTTGCTGAGGATTCGCGAACGACGAGTGAGCCCGTATTCGTCAGGGACTGCAAGAAAAGGGTGACAGTTGAAAATGTGTCGAAATTTATTGGTTTAAGAAACATACCGTTGTCAATGTGACTTTTAACCTCGGAAGCTCATCCTCAAGTATTTCAGCGGGCAAACGGAGGATGAACTTTCCTAGTGCTATCAGCCCGAATGCATACGAAGAAGACTTGATCTCGGAAGAGGATGCTCCGGATGGCGCTGCGTCTGATAGGAAGGAGCGCAGGCTAGCATGCATGGTGGTCAGACCGTACACAGGCTCGACACGAGCGACAAGAGCGTCTCGAATTGTTGTCGTAGCTTCTAGGACCTGGGATGAAACTGAATTAGCAATGTTCATATTAAATGAAGGAAAACGTACGTTAACTTGGTTGCAGAACCTAATTCGAAGCAAGAACGAAAATACGTCCGCTTCACGTCCTTCGAGCAAGGAGCCCTGATTTTCCAACATCTCCCACAGGACAACGAGTCCGTATTCGAGCTCATTCTCCGGCTTTTGAAGATTCCCTATAAGAATAATTCATAGGTATCCACACGAAGATACTCACCTTGTCGATTGAAAGGAACTTCATTAGGGCATTGAACAACCGTTCGAAGTTTTTGTCCTCTTCCCACATTGAAGTCATCAATGATGGAACGGAGTCAAACTTCGTCATGGACGGCGAAGGGCTCATGGGCAATGAAAACCCGGTCCTGAAATCAATTGCCTCTTCCTGTGCAGGATTCTCCATCGACAGCCATGCCAATGTCTTCAAGGTGGTAACACTGGCGTTTCCATCTTCCAATGCAGAGATACACCGTTGGAGCTCTGACTTCTTACCCGGACCGTCTAGCTTCATTGAGCTACCCTTATTAATAACTTAGGCAAGTTTAGCGATACGAATGTGAGACCGTAAAAAAGAGGTCGACATACAGGATAAGCGCTTTAGCCACCAGCTGGTTTCATGTTTTCTTTCCTTCAGAACATCGACCAATGAGGAGGGGCCCTTGACGGCCGGGCTATTTTGAAACAATGCTGCTTGCTTGATGAACGTCGACTTCTTGTTGGACGGAGTGACAGGAACAACATTGTTCGACCACGTCTTAGTTGCCAATGGTGTCCTCTGAGATGACGTCGCTGCCCCGTTACTAGGTAATAGCGACGGCGGAATCGGTGAGAGTTGAAGATCGTCATCTGGTTCTACCAATTCGAGTAGACGCTCAGCAGCGCTTTCAGCTTGTTCTGCACGAGCCCGAAGGGCGTCTTCGACAATGGGGGCGGAGGCAGAAGGCGGCGGCGAACCCATAGATACACTTGAAGTCGTCGTAACGGGTACGGCGTTATATTTTTCGTACGGGGCAGAGAAGGACATCATCATACGAGAATCGTCATCAGAGTCGCTGTCGTCTGGGAGCGGGATCTTCTGCGCTAAGAGCAGAGATTCATCGAACCCGTTAAGGTTCTTGGGCAACGTAAATGGTTCGTGATTGTTGAGCGACGGACCCAGTGCAGCTGAGAGTGATTTTCGGACAACCGTTCTCCGCGTAGGCGACGGTATACGAGTCGGGGAAGGGACTCTTGCGGTAGGCAATCGAGGAGACGATGGTGGAGACATCGAAGGCTTTTCAGGATGTTCCAAACTCCGTCGAGGAGAAGCCGGCAAAGCAGTCTTTGCAGCCTTTTCCAGAGTTCCCGTACTCCCTCCTGGGGATGATGGGGCGTTCGAAAACTGAGATGGGTTTCGACGATGGGCAAGTGCCGAGAAGGATTGTGATGCTGAAAGCGGCGCCGCATCAGACGATCGACGATTATGCATTGCCATGGAAGGTACTGAGATGCTCGACGAGGGTGGAGAAAAGGAAGCGATTCTTCGCGTAGGAGATGCTGGCGTCAAAGGACGAGTGACGGGCCTCCGGACCGTCGACGACTTGAGTGATGCAGCAGGAGACGCTGGCCTCGTTGACGTCGAAGGAGAAGGCAACCCATTACCGTTTCTGTGCATCGATGATGTCGCTGCGTGACGAAGAGTGGGAGGAGCTGTCGCCATTGCTTTCGCCTTGGCTCTAGTTGCAGCGATAGCCGCTCGAACACTGCTCTTTTTCGCAGCCGGAGTAGATGGCGCTGTAGCTTTGGGACCTCCAGGAGCTGCTGACTCCAAAAGTTTTCGAGCGGACCCGTCCAAGCTGGCGATCATCGTAGCGCCTCTCTCACTCCAGATCCCTTCGAACACCCAAAAAGCCGCTCTAGCAGTCTCACGAACGGATGGGTTGTTGTCTAATAGGGACTTTTTCAATCCTTTCTCGATCGTCTCCAGTGCGCCAGAGGTTTCGATGGCATGTTTCGCGCGCCCTCCGTGCATTTCAAGATACGCCTTAAGGTGAGCTGCACTATGCTGGCGAGCGAGTGGAATCTTTTCCTGCAACCCATTCCAAATTATGTGTACCACTTGTTTCGGTAAGGGCGTCGTATGCTCCAAGACGACATCCGCGGATGCTTGCGTTTGAGAGACCACGATTCTCTTCGTCGAACCAGCCATTCCAAGGAGCTTTGCAAATACCGACTCGAAGAAAGGATCCATGGCGGGGCCCAGTGCACGCGCCAATTCTGAGTATAGCATGCATGTGTTTGTAGCAAGCGTTGTCCGCAAGCTAGCAAGCTGAAGAAAAATGTTAATCTAGTCGTAATGAAATCTATTTTTCCGCTTTACCGTTTTGAAGGACATGTCGATAAATCCACCCTTTAGTCCGGCGAAAAAGGCCTCGTGATACCGATTATGTGCGTCGCCCTTGATCATTCCCCTCACTCGATTAATAGCCCTCTCACGAGGTCCCCAATTATGTTCAGTTTCCTTGCCCTAATAAAAGGCGGTAAGCACGCATAGTAACCTTTTGAAAGAAGGCGATTTTACCTCAAAACATGCAACCATGCTAGCAAACTCGTTCTCGAGATCTCTAACAGACGCAATCTAAGGAGCAATAGGTTAAACAGACGGAAGAAACCCCGTTCATAGAGTTCCACTTACGAATACGGAAGGGACATCAGCAACAGTCTCTGTCGTTGGTGTGGCAGGTAGCTCTCCCGCCATTCTACTCGCGGGTCGACTACTGTTGTCACCAACATGAGAAGCACTGGTGCTTTGGCTCATCGTCCGACTCATTGTAGACATAGAGCTCTGCGTCGGGCGTTTGGCCTGAAGTTTGAGACTGGGCGGGACGTACTCTTTCCGAGGCGCGTCGCCTGTTTCCGAGGTCGCTGGGCTAGTCATAGCACTTGCGGCCCCGACAGATCCCGTCGCAGCGTGACCTGACATGAGTTTTAGTAGCACGGAGTCCACAATCGTCTTCCTGACGTTCTTTTTGGCCATTTCCTTCTTGAGGTCAGCACGAGCTGTGTCTGTTACGTTGGCTCCCGTGAAGAGCTCAACGACCGACTGCCGTGCAGTGTCCCGAACAGTTCCATCTGTGTCTTCTAGTGCTTCGACAAGCTGGGGTAGATATGGCTTAATGGGAAATACGGGGTTCAACCGCCTCAGATGGACAAGAGTAAGAATTGACTGCACGTTGTCGTTGTCAAACCTATGTGATGAGTAGGTTTTGAATGGCGCACCTGCTCCCGGACTTTGCTCCCTTTACTCGACAAACCACTTTCTTTCACAAGCCTCTCCCAAATCATCAAAGGCGTTTCCTGACCTTTCCCCAGATCCCTCCCCCTCGTGGACATGTGCAACGACGGTGAACATCGGGACGCGAGTCCTCCCAGAACAACAAGGCACTCTCGAGCTTTTTCGCGAACGCGTTCACGGTTGTCTCCAAGGCGGTCGATCAGACCACCCACGAATGCGTTGCAAGCCTGCCTAGTCAGGCCGACATCTGCGGTAGACGAAGGTGCCAGCTCTGTGGAACCGGTGGTAACCAGCGGAAAGAATGACGGAAGAACATTGAGAGTGGCCGATGTCAGGAGATTATTGGAGGAGCGTAGGCATGCTTTCAAAGCGGTTATGAAGGATTCGGGGTCGTTAATCTGCTTCAAATTAGCCAAACGCATTTTGAAATAAACAATCGACAGACCTCAATGCCAGACTCAAATGCTTGCTGAAGTTTCGTAATGGCATCTATCTTCACTTCATTATCTAAGTAAGATGTGAGTAATATGGATATTACAGAGGATTATGAAAAATACCATTGGATTTGCATTGCGTCAAGAGCCCGTCCAAGCCTTCCTGGTCCATGAATGTTGAAGTTGGGAGTGAACAACTTCTGACCTTGGCGGATGAAGCGCGTCGTATAAGTCGCGTCGCTAAGCGTGGGATTCCCTAAGTATGGCCTCATATTATATTTAGCAGGACCTTCTTTCATCGTTTCGATGGTCTAGTTGGTTATGATTTCTGTCTAACACACAGAAGGTCCCAAGTTCGAACCTTGGTCGAAACATCTTTTTGCTCTCTTGAC